CGTCACTTTAATTAAGGCTTAGATGAATGAATTAACCTCTAGATTATGGCCTGTTTTTAAAAAGAAGTCCCAACAAATATGTATTGAACTTATTTTAATGTTAGGATACTGAAGATATCCGAGTGTCTAAAATGTGACCTGATAAAAACAATATTTAAGGAAAGTTTTATTACAAAACTGAACAAGTGGAGATGATGAGAAAAAGTATAGAAAGTTTTAAAATCAAGTCAAATAACATAAGAAGACAAATTAACTATAAAATTTGAACTAAGCTGAAGTGAAGGTGGAACTGTTACCTCCTAAATGTACTGAATATACACGCTACATGATGTTCATCTACAGAAAACGAGGCTCATTTACTGTACGTAATCACAATAACATTATTTCTTTTATAAACCTTTACTTTGTTACAAAGCACTTAAAGAAAAAACAGACAGGACAACATTTGTACCAAGTTTGTTGAAAATAAAAGATGAAGACATCAAAAAGAGCGAAAATGTGGTTTATATCTAAAAGTTTAAAATATGAACTAAGAAGTATATTTATTATCCAATTATCAGTTACGATCTATCAGGTTGCTGCTCACCGTTGGTTTCACTATTGATTACTTTGCAGCCAATACTTCTATTTAGATTAAAATAAAATACTTTAAACCATAATTGGCAACAAAATAGTATAAAAACTGATTGTTTTATGCTTGTCCTCTCAGTGGTTCACTAATCACAAGAAAATCAAAAAGAATGATTATTTTCTGTCTAAACACTCAGTTTTCTTTTCTTGTCCAAGTCTGAGCACACGTGGCTGCAGTCCCACCTTTTACCTCTAGGTGGAATCACTTACACAGAAAATAATGCAGCCCCGTGAACACGTGACGAGTCAGGCTCCTCTTTAATTTGATCTGAAACATTAAAAAAATCCACAAAGAAGCTCAGGGATGATAATAAACCGTGACGTGAGATTTCGATCTTCATCAGCGTCTCTCTTGTGAACCTGATTAAATGAGAACTCACCTGGATTTTATTCTGACAGGATGTAACCTTAGGAGGCTATCTCACTGATCCTAGGTCAGTTTCACTGTAGAGCATGGATGATGTTACACTGAGAGTTTCAGTTAAGCTGTGATAATATGGAGCTTTCCAGGTACTTAAGCCTCTCCTGTTAAAACTTGTTAAATTCACACAAAACCTTTACATTTATTATTTGTAAAAGAATTATTTCCCAG